AAACAAAGCCCCACCTCCGCACCCTTATCTCCTCGGGTGTTCCCTATCTCAGGTGACACCAGGGCTGAGTAGCAACAGTGACACGTGGGCTGAGTCCATGTCGAGGCTCAGCCTCAGTGACACCTTCCCTGTGTAGAAAAGACATGTTTCCCCAACATGACCGGAAACTGAGGGATGTGTGTGCACCTCCCCATGGCTCACACCCTTGCTTTTTTTCTGGAATGAATGGAAAATTTGCACTTTAAATTCCTGAACCAGGACTTGAGGGGTCTGACTCAAGCCATCTATCACCTACTATGCTAATTCTGGAATAGTCTAACCTAGAATTGGTTTCAGTGAGGTTGGATTTATTTATTACTTGTGCTAAAATATACATAAAATTTACTATTTAAACAATTGTAAAGTGTCCAGTTCTGTGGCATTACGTACACGTATTGTTGTGTATCTGTCACCACTGGATCTTTCCCATCTTCCCTGATGGAAACTGTCTCCATTAATGACCCACTCTCGGTTCTCCCCAACCCCAGCCCTTAGCAACCACCATTCTACTTTCTGTCTCTTTGAACGTGACAGCTCTTGCTAAGTTCTGGTGAGGTTTAACCTCAAGGAAACTTGGATTTGAAATCTGGTCCCCACTGTCTACATCTTTGTGGACAAGTGTTTCTACTGTAGAAGAAATTGGCCCGAGGGTTTATTTTACCTTATGGTGATGGAATACTCTCGTTTGTGTTCTGTTTTTAAAGAGTAGACAAACTAATGACATACGTTGCGGTTGAGCTACATATTCATCATTGCTAGATGAATACCTGCTATGGTTTGGATATGAAGTGTCCCCTCAAAAGGCTCATGTGCTGAAGGCTTGGTGCCCGATGCAATGTTCCAAGAAGAGGCCTCTGGGAAGTGACTGGGCCAGGAGGGCTCTGACCTAATCACTGGATAATACATTGATGAATTCATCATTCATGGCATTATTGAGAGGTGATGGGAACTAGGAGGTGGGGCCTAGATGGAGGAAGTGGATCACTGAGGGCACGCCCTTGAATGATATATCGTGTCTCTTCTCTCTCTCTCTCTCTCTCCTGGCTGCCATAGGTGATCAGCTTTCCTCTGCCATGCCCTCCACCATGCTGTTTCTGCCTTGTCACAGCCTAAAAGCAATGGCGCCCACCAACCATGGACTGAAATCATGAACCAAAATAAATCCTTCTTCCCTTAATTTATTTCTCTCAGGTGTTTTATCACAGTGCTGAAAACTAACACATTACCCAAACTTCTACCATTATCTCCTTAAGGGAATGGGATCAAAGCAGGATTCTGGGGGCCCCTTTTCCTTTGGGTCCTTCTGTAGTGTTTAGAGTTTATTTTTGTTTTTATTTTGGCAGTTATTTTGGCAATATAAATAATTACTTCTAAAATCAAGAATAATCCCATGCTGCTTCTTTTTTTTTTTTTTTTGGTTGGACTGGGGTTTGAACTCACTTGCAAAGCAGGTGCTCTGCCACTTAAGCCACACCTCCAGTCCATTTTTCTCTGGTTATTTTGGAGATGGGGGCTGGTGTACTATTTGCCTGGGCTGACCTCAAACCTTGATCCTCCCGATCTCAACCTCCTAAGTAGATAGGATTACAGGCATGAGCCACTGGCACCCAGTTCTATGCTGGTTTTTACTTCAAGTTGTAGGCCTAAGCTTCCCTAAATATCTCAAAAGAAATACAGTTATGACCCAAATTACAGTGATTCATTTTTTCTACTCATAAAAAGAATTTAGAGCAACTGTGAGGCTCTTCTCTCTATTTCATCTCTCAATTTTGAGCTTCCCTGTAACAGTCAGGAAACATAAGAGGTCAGGCTGGGGATCCCGTTCAGATCCTGAGCTACCAAGGAGTTGTGCATGGGCCTAGAGCAGGCAGCAAACACCAGTGCTCAAACCCAGTTGGTGTATGGGGGTGAGGTCTGCAACCCCAGTTTAAGGGGGTCAGAAGAGGCCATGCCCGGGCACCACTGATATTCCACCTTTATCAGAATCAGCTTGGACCTGCACGCAGAGCTCCCTGGAAGTTAGCGAGTAGGGCCTGCCCTCCTCCGTCCAGCTGGGCCTCCTATCTAGCTAGCTGAGGCCTCATTAGAAGCCAGCAAAACCTGCCAAGCTGCAAACCTGCAGGGAGCCAGGTTTGCATTAGAGACACTTAACTGAGAATTGGTATGTTATCTGAACAGGTTGTTCTGAGTTTCTTTTAAGGATAAGTTGTGTCAGTGCTTGGGAGAAGTCAATATGTTTTCCTAAGAGAAAGTAAACTAACGAAATGAAATGAAATGCTACTCTCCCTACATTCACCCCGAGTCCGCTGCATGCCTGACACGGCACACCTCATGTCTGGGTGAGAGTCAGGATGCCTTGTCTCTCTCACATCTGTTGGTGGATGAGAGGGCTGATGTGGAGTGGGTGCCCAGACAAGCAAGGCTGGGAGACTGGTGCCCATTGGGGCTGAGTCGCAAGCTGTTGGCTGCAAAGCCCAGCAGCTCAGGCTCCTGCCCTCAAACCTCACTTTGAAGCTGCTTGGGGGGCTGAGCTTCCACACTCTTGCCCCTCCAGGCTCCCCACTTCACACGTGCAGAGAGAAGCCCAGAGGCAGCTCGAAGCTTAGCCAACATTACAAGCAAGGTCAGAGGCAGGGTTGAGGCTGTCTGACCTCCCACCAGACTTGCCCTCCGTTATTATGGAGTCGGCTTATGAGGGACGTTTAACCCATTCACCCAGATTCCCTACTTCCTGTCCCATCCTCAAGAAAGACCATGGGAACCCTGATCCCCAGAGCAATGCTCAGATTGAGGACTGGCACAGCATTCATGTGTTGGTTTTATATTAGAGCCTATTCCTCATTGTGTCACATAGACAAGGCCTCATGGGATGAATTCTTGGTTGGGTTTAGGTCAGGAAATAATGTTTAGCTCAGCTAGTTCCCTCTCTGCCATGAACCTTCACAACCACTCAAGGGTCTGCTTCCCCCCAAGTCCCCCGTTATTAGCTATCTCTGGGGCCCCTGTGAGGCAGTCCTTCCCTGAGGGAGCCTTGTTCTGTTGCATCACTGTATGTTTTGTTTTGAGCCTCATTTTAATGGCGTACCAGCTGCCAACAGTCTCCTTGGAAGAAATCTGGATATAAAGCATGAAAAAGAAAAAAAAGAAAATTGGATGACAGATTGCTTGATACTACCAAGAAAATCCAGGAAGGGCTGCAGAGTCAGTTCTTACTGCTGATGACAGAACCACGAGGAAGTCTCTGAGTTACTGACCTGTTTCCTGCTGAGGCCCATAACTCACACTGCTGCTTTTGTACCTGGCCATCTTTGAAACTGTCTGCAGTCACACTCTTTTGTCGTGTTTTTGGTTTGAAACATCATTTTGCGACACCCTCAAGTCACCCACATCTTCTCTTTTAAGATGTCAAAAGGTATCTCCATATGGTCTAGGTTGTAGGGCAATTACTACAAGTGCTGAGTGGAATTTATGAGCTACTGTTAAAGGCTTTGGGCTGCTTCTGTTTCTAGAAACTGAAATCTGGCCACTGTTGCACTGCCTTTGAGGGACCTGGGTAAAGATGCCCTTCTTCCTGGGGTGCCTCATTTGGTATGGTTTGAAAAAAGCAGACTTGGTTCTTTCTCTGGGCACTTCCAGACTGAGATGACGGTCTATGTACTGGTGACAAGTTGCAGAGTGGTAGAAACATGTCTAAGAATGTAATATGAAGTATAGCTACAGCTAAACAGCTGGGAGGAGAGGCAGGGGACAGGTGAGGCCTGCTGCCATCTTGTGTAGGAGCTCTGAAGATGGGAGCAGTAAGGACTGTTGGATACCCTGAGAGGCACATCCCCATCCTTGGGTGGTCCCCTGATGAATGTCAGCTCCAGGACCAAGCACTTTGGTCTGTTTTGTTCACATGTGGATTTCCTAGTGCTTGACACAGAATAGATGCTTGATGAACAGTTGCTGAATGAAAAAATGAGTGGATTGATGAATGAAGGTAGGATGACTGCAGACTCCATCACAGGTCAGGCGGCCCAGAGGTTGGCTTGGGTTGGGGATGAAGGCTATGGTACAAAAGGCTGTGATGCTTGGAGAAGGTGGTTAAACCACAGGAGAATGGGCCAAACATTATTCTGGTGCCCTGGGGATACAAACGAACCCAGGACTCAGATCCCGCCCTCCAGGAGCACTTGTGATAACACTGGTGGCGGCAGACTGAAGACCAGTGACAACCCCAAAGAGTGATGCTCAAGAGGCCCAGAGGGGATGGGCGGGGGCTGTGGACGTACCTGAAAGCTGGTGGGTACATCCTCAGGGTCTCTGCAATTACCATGTCCAGATAGGGCAGGCCTTCCTGCAGGCTGCAGTACTCGGGGTCCGGCTGATGGAGGGTCAGGACAGAGGGAGACAGTCAAGTTAGAGTCTTTTTTGTGCACTTCAGAATCCTGCTCTGACTTTAGCAAACATTTAAATGAAAGCCCCACAAGGTGAAGTAGATTCAGCCCAGATGGCGTGGGATTGGCCCTCCCCATGACCTGCTGCTGAATTTCCTGGTGCACTACATTGTTGGGGACTTGGGGGGGTAATGTAGAGACTACAGTGATGGCCACATTTGTCGAGAGCTGGTGATGTGGTCCACTAAGTACTGCACATTCTTGTTTAGTCCTCCTGGCCAACCAAGGTGGCTGGTGTTTTTCCAGCTCTCAGATGAGGAAACTGAGGCTCAGAGAGGCTACTATATAACTGCCCATGTGGTTAGTGGGTCACAAAGACAAAAGTCAAATAGTGTAATAGCAAAGAAAAAAGCTTGCAGCGTCTTTGAAGGATTAATAGTACCAAATCCCAAAAGACAATTCACTAGAAAAGCCACCAGAGGATAGGAAGAGAAAAAACACAGAAGAAATACAAGTTGTCCTGATGAAAAAGTGCAAAGTAAAACAATGTGATTCTGTTTTTCATGCATCAGATTAGAAAAAGTAGAAAACACTGATTAGATTTGGGAGGGTACAAGTGTTGGGAGATCCTAACACCTCCTGGTGACACCCACCTCCTGGAGCGACCCTTTGCCCCCCTCTGACTGGGAGCTCCCAGCTCCTATGGGAGTGAGCTGTGAGCAGGATGTGGTGCCCCGTGGGTGGGACAGTTTGGGGTGGGGATACAGGACACTTGTTCACTGCTCTGTAGGGGTTCTGTGAGGTGGGACTTCCCCAAACACTCTGATTGGCAGGTGACACTCTCACTATTCTCAATTAGGTAAAGCTAAGGAAGAATCCCTAGTGTGTCTGTGTGTGTGGTGGTGAGGGGGGGGGGGATGACTTTCTTCTGTGCCCTCCGCTCCCCAGAGCAGCAGGAGGCAGCCCTCCAGGGCAAGTCCATCCTGTACCTGCTGCAGGGAAAAACCCTGGAGCCAACACAGGGCCACACTGCCAGGGACCTAAACAGTGGTCTCAGAGTGAGTTCCCCCGGCAGCAGTTAACAGTCACCTGGGAATCTGTTTGAACTGCAGAGAGGTGTCAGGAGAGGGCTGAAGGGACAGTGGTGGGAGAGGGCCAGGGTCAGGATGTGTGGAGTCTTGAAGCCCATGCATTAACGTTCCTGAGTCAAATCGCAGAAAATGTGTGTAGTGGCATTCCATTTATGTGACTACTCATGAATTTAGAAGTTAAGGGTGGTGTTTTTGTAACTTGCAATAAAAAATAACAGTGATTGCTTTTCCCAGTGCTCTCTGGGAACTGTTCCTTCAGGAGGCTGTCATGTGCTCACTCAGCCCCTCACTTCCCCCTCCATCCCAGGACCCCAGATGAGCAGTGAGCAGTGAGAAGGGCCCTCGCTTGGGGCTGATGCCAGTGTGGTTGCCATCATGAGATTCCTAGGAACTTTATCCTTGGATCTGTGGTGTGGTAGGAGGGTGGGTGCGGGGCTTGGATGGCTACACCTGTAGCTGCCTCCCTGAGGAAGTCAGCTGCCTGCTCTCTCCCGCCTCCTGGAGCCCTCTGCCCAGCCTGGCTTCCTCTCCCTGCCTGAGGACCACTTTTGTCCTCTACCCCCAGCAGGGGACTGGGCACAGACACAGAGGGTTAGGATGGGGTGCATCTCTGCAGCATCTTGAGGTGGGCATGGTGGCTGCCATCCCTGCCCTGGACTTGCAAGACTGGCCAGAGACTGTGTCTTGGTGGGGCAAGCCTGGGCCCACCTTGGTGCAAAGACCGGGTGTGTCACAGGCAGAGATTGAGTTCCTAGAGGCCATAGTCTGTTTCAGGAATAGGAGACACCTGGGTCAACTTCCCTAGACCCCAGCTGGGCCCCAGTGTGTGTGTGTGTGTGTGTGTGTGTGTGTTGTGTGTGTGTTTGTGTGTGTGTGTGTGTGTTTGTGTGTGTGTGTGTGTTTGTGTGTGTGTGTGTTTTGTGTGTGTGTGTGTGTGTGTTCTGATGGCTGGCAGGGATCTTTGGGTGCCCATGAGGGGCTGGAGGAATCCATACAGTGTGTCCAGGCCTGAAGGAGCATGCATTGGAGGGGGTCTTAGAGGAGGGTCCCTGTCTTTCTCTTTCTATCTTCATGAGTTTGGTTTGTGTTCTGGCCATGAAGTTCACAAATTGTGTAATTTCAGTGATTCTGCATGTGACTTAAATGCTCTGAAATTTACTTTGACAACTGGCTTTGCATGATATAAAAATGAGCAGAAAGTTCATGAAAATAATTTAAAATTGAGATTTTTTTTCTTAGAATGACATTAAAGAGAAAATAAAAACTGCATGACAAGCCAGAAAAGAGACCATGGGTGAAGGTAGATACTCACTTTATGAACACTTTCACGTGCTTTTTGAATAAAAGGTCTCACACTTACATTTTACTTTGGGCCCCACAAATGATATAGTTCTCTGTGCTGACTGCTATTGGCGGGCCCAAGGGAACTAGTCTAAGTTTGAATCTGGGGCAAAACAAAAGGAGCTTTTCTCTAGTGAGCAGAAGTTGACTGTGGGTAAGTAAAGTCATGAGTTATTGGCGGCTATCTTCTGCCTTGTGGACTAAAGGACGTAAAACACCGGTTGGCCCCAAGAAAAAGAAACAGATTAGATGTGCAGAGAGAGGCAGAGGCAAAGGACAGAGACTACTTCCTGGTATCTCACAGAATTCCAGTTCCCATTTGCCATCTGTTCCTGACAAGTAGTCTGGGGGTGGTACCTCACCCACCCTTCCAGCAAATTCTCACTTATGGCCCCAGTTAGTGACATTTTGAATTCTGCTCTCTCCAACCACAGGAGTCTTAACAAATGCAAGAATGTAAAAGCCAGGAAGGGAGGGAGGGAAGAAGGGAGGAAGTAAAGAAGGGAGAGAGAAAGGAAAGAAAGGAGGGAGGACCAACGGTGTGCTGCATCACAATATAAAACTATATCCCAACAAGAAAAAGAAACTGTAAGAGGCGCTTAAACTGCTTTTACTGAAAAGCACCAACTCCTTCCTTGGACTCACAGATTAACTAAAAACAGGAGAAGCTTGGCATCCCTGCCTCCATTTTGAATCTGTCTTCACTATAAGCCATTCTCTTTGCAGTCACTTTGCAATACCTTGGATTCCAGAAAGGACAGGACATAAACATCTTTGTGACAAGAAACTGAGACTTCTCATAAGGAACAGTGGCATGTGCAGGACAGACACCCTCCAAATGAGGACAACTATCTGTAATGATGAGGCTGCACTGTGGGGCAGAAGCAGTCATCTCACAGGAACCAGACTGCTTCCCTCAAGTGATGACTGCCATAACATCTTCTCCGAAACCCCTCTGGGAACCCTTGGATTGAGATAACGGTCAACCAGAACATACCTGTGACTGGGACTGTTTAATTATACATACCTTTGTCCCCTGTCCCCTGTTCTTATGTCTATTTAATCCACAGCTCTTGTCTGTACCCCAAAGATGGCTGAAGATGAGCTGAGGGCTTTCTCTGCTTCTTCCCACGGCATGTCCTGAGCCGTGTAGTAAGTCTCTTTTCTCTGTCCTCACCATGCCTTTTTACTTGGCATTTGGGGGCTGATGGCCGGACCTGGCATATGGAATCTCAGGAATTTGGGCCTTGGGTCCAAAACTCTGGTTTCAAAACCAGAGCTTGGAGTTGTGTCTTTAATGGGTGAATGGTTCTGGGAAAAGAGTATGGCTGTAAGCTGTCAGGATTTGCGAGAGAAAGAGAGCTTGTTAAGGTAGCTAAGGGACCTCTGTATTTTTTAGAAAAATAGTAAAGAGTGATTTATTAGCAAAGCATAAATACACCTCAGGGGGTGAGACAGGCAGTTGGGTAAGGGCCAACTCTGGGATTTCTCTATTTATAAGCAATGTCTTCATTCCTTCCCCAGGTGGGATTTTCACCACTCCCTGCCTTTGGCTCAAGGCTCACCTGAAAACACCATCTTGGTCCAGAGTTCTGGATCTTTGTGGGCACATGGGCTCTGTGGTTGGCACCAGTTCTCCTAAAGTCCCCCTGGGATCCCTAAGTGTCCCTCCACATGGGAGGAGTGAATGGGCAGGGTGGAGGGAGGCACACACCATATTTTAGTCTAATCCAGGCAAGGCAATGAAATTCAAGTCCCTGCCTACTTACAGACCAGTCCACCTATCCCTACTTGGTTTGCCCATAGTTCTCCCAGGCACCTGGGGGGGACACAGGAGTCCCGAGCTATACTTGCCAGCAGAGGGCAGCAAGTGTATGGTAAATGACGACTGAAAAGGCCCATAGGAACCATCGCATCCGAATTCATGATAGAGGAGAAAAGAGACCCAGAGGCAAAAGCCTGTGAGCGCACTCTCATCGAGGGCCCTCAGCAATCCTGCAGGGAACACTTGTGCGAGTCAGGAGCTGGCTTTGGGGTCAAGGATCTAAAACTGATGAAGCCTCTACCCTTTGCGGAGCCATGCTTGCAAGCTAATCTAGAATGGGCTTGAGAGAGGTGGGAAGCTAGTTCTGCTTGGGAGACCAGTCACTCACTCCAGGAATCTGTATACAGTTGGCATCCTATGGAGCAGTACTGTGGTAGGCTTAGGAGACACGACCAACACTCTCAGCTCTTCTGCTCTCTTGCACCTCCTGGTCTATCAGAATGCCAGCACATGGATGAGGGTGAGAAGGGACAACAGAGCAGGGACACACAACCCAGATATCTGGGACCTGGGAAGCTACTCTGGTGGGGTGGGCAGGGGGCTGTCAGAGTCTCTGGGAAGTGAAAAGTACCCAAGGAGCAGGTAATTCTGTGTGGACACACTTGGTAACAGGACCCATTTCCCCATGAGGCAGTCTGTCCTCTCTATGAAATCACTTTGTAAGGATGCGTCAGGCAGAATACAACCCAAAGTGCTATCCAATTCATCTCAGCTGGGACTTACTTTATAA